TGACCTCCAGTGGTAGGGTTATAGGTGCATAAAGCCATGCTCAACTTTTTATGTGGTTTTGAGGATTCAAACCCAGGGCCTCCTGCCTGTAGAACAAGGATTCTTGCCTGCTAAGCTATCTGACTAGTCTGTGGTTTTAATAGAGACTCTGTGATAAACTCTGTCACTGATTAAGTGAACAAGTAATTCTCTTCCTTATGTTGACTTAACCTCCTCCATAAATCTCAGAGGCTTTGCCGGAGGGTCCCCCCACCCCCCACCCCACTGCCTTCTGCCTACAGGTACATTTCTGAAACACAGCTGGGCCAAACCCAAGCTTGGGGACCCATGGCCCAGGATGCCCCAGGGAGAGGCCCCTGTGAGGGCCTTACTCTGCTGGGCTAAGAAGCTAAGAGTAAACAGATCGAATTTCCAGTGTCAGCCAGGCCATCCACCCAGGCAGCCACAGTGACTGAAGATAGGAATGCTCTCCAAGGTGACTCAGCACCTGGTCCCCTGCTCTGAGCAGCCCCAGGCCTTGGCTCAGCCTGGGTTATTGGCTCTGCTGGGTGGTTCTGGCCAAACCCAAAGAAAATAGCTATGGGATTTTGAAGTCAACTGGTGTATGAGACTATATACCATCCCTAAGGATGAGGGGACACAGAGCCATGCTTAGCAGGGGGCCTGCCATAGTTTGGGTGATCTGCCAGGCCGATCTGCCTGTCTGAGCCTCAGTTGGTTCATTGGAAAACAGGTACCAATATGAAAGAGTGGAATGAGATGTGTATAAGAGGCTGGCCTGCCGGCTGAGGATTTCAAGCTTCTAGGCTAGCCTGAGCTACATAAAGAGGGAGAAAGAAGGTAATATTTGGAGAGAGAAAGGAAGGAGGAAATGAGAGAAAATGAAGGAGGAAGGAAGAGAGGAATGAAGAAGGGGAAAGGGAAGGAAAGAAGTGCATTTAAGACAGTTGTCAGAGTCATTAGGCAGGCAGAGGCTGGTCTGAAGTGAGCAGATGGGCCCCAAAATTGGAACCCTGGGAATGAATGGATAGCCCAAGGCTAGCAAGAACTGCACCAGAGCTGTCTCCCACTGGAGAGATAAGTTCCTACAGGGAACAAAAGACTAGCAACAAACCTGCGAAGGGAAAGTAGTCCTGTGTGGGAGACTCTGGGTTCCAGGAAAGACTCTTATCAGCCAGGGGGATGGAGAGATAGTCCAAGGTCAAGGGCAGGAAGGTAGGTTGTCACAGCAATGGGGTGTGGATTGTGACCGGTCAGTGGTGAATTGAGTTGGGTGGAGAAAAGCTAAGTGGCTTAGAAGATAACAACACTTGCTGTTCTTGCAAAGACCTGAGTTTGGTTCCCAGGGCACTGCACTCATGAGCACAAACCCACACACAGATACACACATACGCTTCATCAAAAATAAAATATAAACCAGGCATGGTGGCATATACCTTTAATCCCAGCACTCAGAAAGCAGAGGCAGGAGGATTGTGAGTTGGAGGCCAGCCTGGGCTTCATAGTGAGACCCTATTACCAAAAAAAAAGGGAGAGAGAGCCGGTGTGGTGGCACACACCTTTAATCTCAGCACTTAGGAAGCAGAGGCAGGCAGATCTCTGTGAGTTCAAGGCCAGCCTACATAGTGAGCTCCAGGCCAGCTGGGGCTACAGGGAGACCCTGTCTCAAAAATTAAATAAATAAAAATAATAAAGCATAATAAACTTAACCTCTGTGAGATGAAGAGGCCAGGATCAGGCAGGTGGCTGGGATAGCTGGTTGAGGGACAAAAATGTGCTAACAGTTTGCAGAAGTGATTCTCAAAGGCTCATATTCACATGGCTACAGGCTTGCAAGAGGTGCCCTCACTAGATACTTGTATCATAGAAATTTGGGGTTCTGAACCAGCCAGACAGGGAGAGATGGGATGGATCTGGAGGGGCAGGAGAAAGTCAAGTCTGGTGAGAAGGTATCTTTTTTTTGAGTGGGAGGGTCTTTTTGAGACAGGGTTTCCCTGTAGCCCCAGCTCTCCTGGAACTCACTATATAGACCAGGCTGGCCTTGAACTCACAGAGATCTGCTTGCCTCTGCCTCCCTAGTGCTGGGATTAAAAGCATGCACCACCACGCTTAATAGCTGGAGAACTGGTGAAGGAAATCTGAAGATGGGTAGGATGCTTAGGCCAAAGATGGCCACAGACAGGGAGGGAGTTTGAGTGGCACTGACCTGGGGAGCAGAGAACTCTCGTTACTAGGCAACCAGACAACAGCCCTAGGCAACACCCAAACTGGGCCCTCCAGGGAACGTGAGTGATTCAGTGATTCTCAGTTAATAGCGCAGTTAATAGCGTCTGGGATGTGGCGGGTGGGCCATGGGACCACATTGCTTAACAGGCAAAGCTTGGCTCCCTGTGTTCTTGCCTTCCTGTGACCACAGAAAGCTGGGCATCCCTACCACCATGAGTAATCTATCAATATAGTGCTTATCCCTGGCTGTAGTGGGAGGAGTACAAGGTCATTGACCTCCAAGCCAAGTCAGGAGAAGGAAGTGGAGTGTGAGCTGAAAGCACCTTTGTTCAAACTCAGAGTCCAAGGCAAAGAAAGGATCAAATGCCTGGCTCAGAGGTAGCGCACCTGCCTAGAATCCCCCAGTGAGGGGCTGGGGTGTGACTCAGTGGTAGAGCACCTGCCTAGAATCCCCCAGTGAGGGGCTGGGGGTATGGCTCAGTAGTAGAGCATCTGCCTGATGACCAGAGTTTGATCTTTAGAACCCACATGGTGGAAGGAGAGAACCAACTTCTGTAACTTGTCCTCTGACCTCCATATGTGTGCTCCATATGTAACCCACACATAAACACAATAAATAAATGGAATATTTTCTAGATGGATAGCATCTAAGTAGAGACAGCCAAAGTTGTCCTCTGGCTGCACACATACAAATAGATACAGAGACATAAGAAAGAGAGGGAAGGGATGGGAGAAAGAGGAAGACAGCCAGATATGGTGGCTCACTCCTGTAATCCTAGTACTTGAAAAGCTGGAGCTGGAGAATTGCTGCAAGTCCCAGGCTCTCCTGGCTACAGAGTGAGACCCAGTTGTTTTTTTTTTTTTTAAATGACATGGGGGAGGCTGGAGCGATAGTTCAGTAGTAAAGATTGCTTTCTTTGCAACCACAAGCACCTGAGCTTGAATCCCAGTACCCATGTAGCAAGCCAGGTGTGGGTGGCTCATTCCTGAAGCTGTATGGTTAGGGGCAGGCAGAGTGATGGCAGAGACAGGATGATCACTGGGGTTTGAGCTCCCAGTTTCAGAGAGACTGTGTCAAAGGAATAGGATGGAGAGAAGTAGAGGAGGACACCCAACACCCTCCACAGCTTCTGCACATGTATATAGATGCATGCATCTGCACAAGCATGTGCATGTATCACACAACAGAGGGAAGAGAGACAGATCTGAGCTTTATAGGGGAGCAAGTGGGATGAAGCTCACAGACACAAAGCACTTGGAGACTGAGCACTGGACACTTCTGGGGCTAATACTTAAGTATATATTCATTTTTATTTCATGTGTATGGTATTTTGCCTGCATGTTTTTAAGTGTACCATGTATGTGCAAGGCCTGTGGAAGCCAGAAGAGGGTGTTGGATCCCCTGGAACTGGAGTTGTAGACAGTTGTTGGCCACCATGTACCCACATGGAATTTGAACCCAGGTCCTCTGCAAGAGCAGCCTGTGATCTTAACTACTGAGCCATATCTCCAGCCCCTGGGGCTGACTCTAGACTCTTAACTTAGGTTGCCACAGGGAGAACAACAGATCCCTCCACTTCCTTATGCCTTGCAGGTCTCTATGTCAGTGTGCACATTGCATCAAGATGGACATTCAGCAGCTGGCTGGTCCCCAGGGACGTGTCACTTCGACAACAACTTATTTATACCCCGTGTCCACAGAGGCCCTCATTGCTGTCTCCTGCTGTTTATGCCCTCCAGACCCATGTGTCTGGTCTATTTCTGGAGTTGTCCCCACAGCCGCCAGGGTGACCAGAGCAAGTATCTTTCCTGGTTCTGGTCACCAGGCTCTTAGGCAGCTGGGAGGCCCCATCCCTCCCAGCATGCACCTGCTCACAGTCATCTGAAGGCTGAAGGCTTCAAGATTCTTTCTGAGGATGTGGGGTCCCTAGGAAGGAATCCCACCAGAGCAATGATTGCCACTTACAAGGAGACAATGACTGTAGTCTTTTGAGGACAATGATAGAGTGTGTTGTCCTAACAAGAGTTACAAGTTGGCTATGGGACAGGCCTAGTAAGAGATGTCATTGAGAAAAAAGGCCAGCAAGCTGGCTTAGTAGGTAAAGGTACTTGCTGCCAAATCTGACAACCTGAGTTCGATCCCCTGGACCCACATGGTGGAAAGAGAGAACTGACTCCTGCAATGTGTCCTCTGACCTCCATGTGGGCACCATAGCTTGCTCATATGTACACACACACACACACACACACACACACACACACACAAATAAGTAAAAAAAGCAAAAAGCCGGAAGGGAAGCTGAGTGTGTGCTGATGGCTAAGCAGGTGGTCAATGGAAGGAGAAATATGTCGCCGGACCAGGCATTTCCTGGAAAGTCAAATTTATAAAGTGTCATTTACACATAGCAGGTTTCTCTTTTAGCTAGGTGTAATGGTGCACATCTATAATTCCAGCCCTTAGTAGGTGGGGGAATCAGGAATTGAAAGCCATCCTGGACTTATATGACACCCTATCTCAAAAACAGTCACCTTTTAGTGGATAGTTGAGCTTTGATAGACATGTAGGATTTTACAGCCACTACCACACACCGCATAGTGAACAAAGACCTGAGAATGTAGCTCACTGGTGGAGTACTTGCTAGAGTCCCCCAGTGAGGGACTGGGGGTGTGACTCAGTGGTAGAACCTGCCTAGAATCCCCCAGTGAGGGGCTAGGAGTGTGGCTCAGCAGGTGGCCTCCCCAGACTAACCAAAGACCCTGTGTCTTCTTCTCAGGTGCAAGTTCTTCAGTCTGACTGAGACACCAGAGGACTATACCATCATTGTAGATGAGGAGGGCTTTCTCGGTAAGTGCCTCTCGTCCCCAAGGTCCTACCATGTGCCCATCTCCTTAGTTATTTTTCTGGTTTTACTTTTGATGTTTTAATCTGGGAGGGTGTGTTTTGGTTCTATGGAGGGATGGAGGGTTGTTTTTTGTTTTTGTTTTTTTTACACTTATCTATTTTGTGTGTGTGTGTGTGTGTGTGTGTGTGTGTATGTGTGTGTTCTGCCCCCACACATGTGTTTGAACATGAGTGTGGAGATCAAAGGACAGCTTTCAGGAGTTGGTTCTCTCCTTCCACCATGTGGTTCTGGGGATCACACTCAGGTTGCCAGGTTTGGCCCCAAATGCTTCTATGTGCTGAGCCATCTCACTGTCTCTTGTTTGATTTTATTTTTTTTAAAGACAGAATCTCCCTGTACCCCCAGCTGACCTAGAACTCAGTATGTAGACCAGGATGACATCAATCTCAGAGATCTACCTGCCTCTGCATCCTGAGTGCTGAAATTAAAGGCATGTACCATCACATCAGTTTTCACTTGTATTTTGAGACAGCATCTCACTCTGTAACTGAGGCTAACCTCAATCTCGAACCTCAACCTTTCAAGTGCTGGGATCATAGGAAATTGACACTATTTCTGACTCTTTTTTTTTCCTTCCATTTTTCAATTGAAATATCATTTGCCTATCATAAAATTCACCATTGTGAAATATAAATTCAATTTTTGTTTGTTTGTTTGTTGAGACAATCTCAGGTAGCCCCAGCTAGTCTGGAACTCTCTAGGTAGCTAAAGATGACTTTAAACTTCTGACCCTCAGGTGCTGTGCACCATTACACCTGGTTTATGCCAAGATGTTGGTAGAATCCTGGGCTTCATGGATGCTAGACCAGCACTCTACCAATACTCTTTGCCCTCAGTGGGGTTTTTAGGATTTTTAAGCCCCTCAAAAAGAAGCCTTGTATTTGTTATCAGTAATCTCCTGTCTCCCTGCCCTTAACCCCAGTTCTTTCTTTAGTATGAAAGTTTATGACTTGTTAGCCTTTATGTGTTTGTTTATTCGCTTGTTTTTAATATTTGTTTTATACGTATGAGTGTTTTCCTGCATGTATGTATGTATGTATACCACATGTGTGTGGTGCCCACAGTGACCAGAAGAGGGCATCAGGTCCCCTGGAACTGGAATTATAGGCAGATGTGAGCTATCTAGTGTGGGTGCTAGGAAGCAAACCTGGGTCCTCTGTGAGAGTATTTAGTGCTCGTAATCCCTGAGCCATTGCTCCAGCCCCCTGCTCATTTGGTTTTTGCAATGCTGGGTATGGCACTCAGTGCTTTGCCCATGCTAGGCAAGTGCTATACCCCAGAGTCATACTCCCAAACCCAGGGTCTGGCTTTAAAGGGACTCTTAGAGACTTTGCAGGCTGTAGGGATCCTGCAAATGGAAATGCACTGATGTTGTTCTTACCTGCACTGTATTCATGACAGGGCAGAGGGGAGCTATTGGATTTACTCACAGGCAGAGATGCTGGATTCCTGGGTAAAGCTCTTAAGTGACATTCTTTAAATATATGCAGGGAAAGCCAGGCAGGTGGCACAGGTCTGCAATCCTAGTACCAGAGAGTAAAGTGGGAGAACTGCTACTTCAAAGCCAACCTGAGCTATATAGAAAGACCCTATGTTGAAATACCACAAGCCTGGAGAGCTGGTGCAGCTCTTTAAAGACTCAGGCTCACAACCCAAAAGACAGGAGTTCAGTTCCCAGCACCCACCGTTATGCTGGGCATGGTGGCACACACCTTTGATCCCAGCACTCAAGAGGCAGAGGCAGGTGAATCTCTGTGAGATCAAAGCCAGCCTGGTCTCCATAGTGAGTTCCAGGCCAGCTGTCTGGGCTGTGTGACTTGCCACCAGGGGTGGAGGGGCAGCAACCTTGCAAAGTGCACTTCAGGACACTCAAGCTCATGAAAGTTCCCAGGAGACTATGAGGGGCTCACACACCACCCCCAGCAAGCACTTTCCATTGCTAAGTTTGGGTTCCTTTAGTTCCAGAAACAGGACCAGGGGAGATGGATCAATTGATAAAGTACTTGCAGTTCAAGCATGAGAACCCAAGTTCAGAGCCTCTGTACCCATATGATAAAGAAAGTGATGGCAAGGGGTCTGCGGGAGTTGGGGGTGGGTGTGTGGGGGTGGAGAGGTGACTCAGGGGTTAAGAGTACTGACTGCTCTTGCAGAGAACCTGGGCTCAGTTCTCAGCACTCACCTAGTGATTTACAAGTGTCTGTAATTCTAACAACAAGGGATCCAACACCCTCTTCTGGCCTCCACAGGCATATACACACCTATAGGCAAATACTCATGTACATGAAAAGAAATGAATCTTTAAGAAAAACAAGATGGATGTGCCAATGAGATGGCTATTGCCCAGAATCTAACAACTGGAGTTCAGTCCCTGGAACCCATATCCTGGGACCCACATGGTGGGAGGAGAGAACTGACTCCCACAAGTTAGCCTCTGACATCCAACACACACACACACACACACACAGAATTCCAGAAACAAAATAAGGCAAGGTATGGGCAAGGCCTGGGAATCCCATTCCTGGGAGACAAGTGGAGGAAATAAACAAAGCCTGCCACCTGGGCAACAGGTAGTGTAGAAGCCAGAGATCCAGGGAGTACTGAACCACTTCCCCAGCTCCCCTCCCTCTTTCCTGTGAGGCCTTCTGCCTCTCCATCATTTGCTGGCTGACCACAGGCCTTCTCAGCCAGCAGGACCAATGGGCTTCCCTTAGGCTGCTGTCACCATGGCGACTGAGCTAGGCAGGTAGGATTCTGATGGCCTCGCTCAGCATCCCCTCCTCCCAAGCCATCTTTCCAGAGGCCGGCCTCTTCCCCTCCCCTTCCTTGTCTCTGACACCACCCTCACCCTCCACCCCGACCCCAATTTCTTAAGGAACTCAGTGCTTCTTTCTTTTGGTCCCCAAGACAGAGCGAGTTTTTTTAGTCCACTGGATTTTAATCTTTTTTTGGTTTGGTTTTTTTGTTGTTGTTCTTATTTAAGACACTCTTATATATGCTAGGCTAGCAGTATAGACCATCACCAAGCATGACCTTGAACTCCTGACCCTCCTACCTTGACCTCCCAAGTGCTGGGATTAAGTGCATCACCACAACCAGTTTTATGCAGTCCTTGAGATAGAACCCAGGATGTTATGCACAGTAGGCAAATGATCTACAAACTGAGTCAAACTCTCTTCCCTTTCTGTTTGTTAGTTGGAACTGACTCCATAGGCACACCATGGTATACACACCTACACCCATATATAATACACACAATAATAGTAAATAAAGAGCTGGACAGATGACTCAGTAGTTACAAGCAGAAGGACCTGAGTTTGATTCCCAACCCCCACATAGACAGCTCATAAGGGCCTGTAACTCCAGCTCCAGGTAACCTGATACCATCTTCTGGCCTCCACTTACACTGCACTCACAGACACATACACATAATTTAAAAAGGCCCAGCACTCGGGAAGCAGAGGCAGGCGGATCTCTGTGAGATTGAGGCCAGCCTGGTCTACATAGTGAGTTCCAGGTCAGCTTGAGGCTACAGGGAGACCATGTCTCAAACAGACCAAAAATAAATAAATAAATAAATGGACTAGAGAAATGACTTAACAGTTAAGAGCACTGACTGCTTTTGCAGAGGACCCAGATTCAGTTCCCAGCACCTACGTGGTGGCTAACAACTACCTGTTACTCCAGTTCCAGGGGATCCAACATCCTCTTCTGGCCTCCATAGGCATTGCATAACATGGGTGTATGCAGGCAAAACACTTATACACATAAGTCGGGCATGATGAAGCACGCCTATAGTCCCAGCACTGAAAGAGGTAGAAATCATTAAGGCATTACCAACTCAACTTTTTAGTGAAAGAAACAAAGCTTGGATCCATATAAAGCACTCAGAAAGTGCTTCCGGCCCTGCTGAGCTACTGGGCATGCATAAACCATCCAAGATAATCACCTGCTCAGCCATCCCTAGAAGGGACCCTTGACTCATCTTGTTAATGGAAGATTAGGACTGGAGAGATGGCTCAGCAGTTAAGAGCACTGGCTGCTCTTACATAGGACCCAGGTTTGGTTCCTAACACCCACATGGCCACTAACAATTGTGTATAACTCCAGCTGTATGGGATCTGACCCCTTCTTCTGACCTTAACAGGCACTGTACTTACATGCACATACACCCACACAGAAATAAAAATAACTTTTTGTTTTGGGTTTTTTGTTTTTGTTTTTGTTTTTGTTTTTGAAACAGGATCTCACTATGTAAACTGGGCTGGCCTCAAACTCACAGAGATCTTCCTGCCTCCTGAATGCTGAAAATAAATTTATTTTGAAAATGAGGAAACTAGCTGGGTGTGGTGGCCCACGCCTTTAGTCCTAGCACTCAGGAGACAGAGGCAGGCGGATCTCTTTGAGTTCAAGGTACCAGCCTGGTCTACAAAGCGAGTTCTAGGCCAGCTAGGGCCACAGGGAGACCCTGTCTCAAAAAGGCCAAAAAAAAAAAAAAAAATCCAAAAACTGGGAAAACTAAGCCCCAGAGAGAGGCAGCAGTCTCTAGAACCTTATACCTCCCCCATTCTAAACACCTCTTCCACCTGGCCTGGCCTGGCCTGCAGACACTCAGTGTGTCCCCCCACCCCGTTCTCCCCCCCTCCCATCAGCCAGCTTACTGTCATCTGTGGTTTCTCCCTCTGCTACAGAACTGCCCTCTTCTGAGCATGGGTAAACTAAGCCCCAGAGAGAGGCAGCAGTCTCTAGAACCTTATACCTCCCCCATTCTAAACACCTCTTCCACCTGGCCTGGCCTGGCCTGCAGACACTCAGTGTGTCCCCCCACCCCGTTCTCCCCCCCTCCCATCAGCCAGCTTACTGTCATCTGTGGTTTCTCCCTCTGCTACAGAACTGCCCTCTTCTGAGCACCTGAGTGTGGCAGATGCTACCTGGCTGGCCCTGAACGTGGTGTCCGGTGGCGGCAGCTTCTCCAGCTCTCAGCCTATTGGAGTGACCAAGATCGCCAAGTCTGTCATCGCCCCACTAGCTGACCAGAATATCTCTGTGTTTATGTTGTCCACTTATCAGACTGACTTCATCCTGGTGAGTCAAAGCAGTGAGGATCAGCTACATACACTGCTCTTTGTGTAACACACACAGGCACAGACACACACATGCATGCACATTCTTGCACTCACACCAGGCTCCTTAAACACTCATTCTCCAATCTCACCTGCTGCTTTCCATACCGAAGGAGGTATGGGAACTGCGGCTCATGGGCTCATGAACCCCACTTTCCATCCTAGGTGCGGGAGCGTGACCTGCCCTTCGTCACCCACACCCTGTCCTCAGAGTTCACCATCCTGCGGGTTGTCAATGGCGAGACGGTAGCAGCTGAGAATCTAGGCATCACCAATGGCTTCGTGAAGCCCAAGATGGGTGAGTTGGGATTGGGGGAGAGGAGTCTCAGCAGGAAGGCCCCACCCACAGAGGATGCAGCGTTCACTGGGTGCCAGGTAGAGCAGCCAGTGATAATGAGAGCTGGCTCCCAGCTCAGCCCAGCTTGTGGTGTCAGGGTGACTATCTCTGGTCGGGACCATGGAGTAGAAGCCTGAAGCACAGTAACAGCTAAGTGGTGGCTGTTGAGACGTGTGGAGTAGCTGGAGCAGAGGCCCAGGGTCCTCAAGGGAAGCTCAGAGAATTGGTGCCTTGTAGGTGATAGGGAATAGGAAAGCCATGTGGGCTGTATTGACTAAGGTCTGAGGCTGGGCCCAATGCTCACCCACAAAGCTCCTCTCTGGCCTTAGCACCTGTGTCCTATTCTCTTGCAGTCCAGAGGCCAGTCATTCACCCGCTATCCAGCCCAAGCAACAGGTTCTGTGTTACCAGCCTGGATCCCGACACGCTGCCCGCCGTTGCTACACTCCTAATGGATGTTATGTTCTACTCCAGTGGGTAGGGCCCTGGGCCAAGGTTCTTTGGGGGACATGGGAGGTACAGCTCCACCCAGGATCCCAGACTGAAGGGGGAGGCATGGACATATCTGTCCAACTCTTGCACATTCCGCTTCCTCTTCCATGATGTTTTCTGAGCCTTGAGTGGGTTGATACAGATGTCCCATTTAGGGCTAAGCACTCGACAGTCATGTATTCCCAGCTCTTTGAACAGTTATCAGTCTCTGCATTAACTGCTGCCTAGTGCAGAAGGAAGCTCCTCTGGTCAAGATTGAGAGCAGAAGTCATCTAATTTAGAAAGCAGTTTGACAGCCTGTCCATTTAGCAAAATAATAGTAGTAGGCTCCTCTCTAGGGCCAGCCTGGTCTACATAGTGAGTTCCAGGCCAGCTGGGGCTAAAGGCTGGCCTTGAACTCAGAGAGATCTGCCTGCCTCTGCCTCCCAAGTGCTGGGATTAAAGGCATGTGCCACCACACCCAGCCAAGATTTTTTATTTTTTAATATTTTATTTATGGCCAGGCATGGTGGCACACACTGTTAATCCCAGCACAAGCGGCTCTCTATGAGTTTGAGGCCAGCCTGGTCTCCATAGTGAATCCAGGACAGCTATTTGTGAATAGAAAAATATTCTTTTTCATCTAATTAAAAAAAACCTTTTATGTGTATGAGTGAATTGCCTGCATGTATAAGTGCACCCGTGTTGTGCAATGCCTGCAAAGGTCAGAAGCGAGCATTGGATCCTCTGGAACTAGAGTTACAAACAGCTGGAGTTAAGGACGGTTCTGCTGGGAATCGAACTCAGGTCCTCTGCAAGAGCAGTCAGTGTTCTTAACCGCTAAGCCATCTCTCCAGCCCCAAGATTTATATTTATTTATGTATATATATGTACCTGTGTGAGTTTTACATGTTTTACCACATGTGTGTAAGGTGGCCACAGAGGCCAGATCCCCAGAGCTGAAGTTAAAGGCAGTTGTGAACCACCTGATACAGGTACTAGGAACTGAACCCAGTTCATCTGGAAGAATAGTAAGCATTCAACTGCTGAGCCATCTGTCCAAGATTTATATTTATTTATGTATATATATGTACCTGTGTGAGTTTTACATGTTTTACCACATGTGTGTAAGGTGGCCACAGAGGCCAGATCCCCAGAGCTGAAGTTAAAGGCAGTTGTGAACCACCTGATACAGGTACTAGGAACTGAACCCAGTTCATCTGGAAGAATAGTAAGCATTCAACTGCTGAGCCATCTGTCCAGCCCCAAGCTATGGGCTAGGCCCAAGTTTATAGTACCAGGGATGGGTTCCCTCCTGTGGAGCAGGCCTCAGATTCACTCAGAAAGTGGTTGGTGGGAGCTAGAGAGGTGACTCAGTGGTTAAGAGCACTGACTGCTCTTGTAGAAGACCCAGATTCAGTTTCCAGCACCCACATGGCAGCTAAAAACCATCTGTAACTCCAGTTCTAGAGGCTCTGACACCCTCTTCTTGCCTCCACATGCAAGAACTGCATGTGGTACACTTACATACATGACAGTAAAGCACTCATACACATAAAATAAAAATAAATAAATCAAAAAAGTATTCAAAAAGAAGAATTTGTTGGTTACCCCAAGAACCATTATGTCATTATTGCAGCAGTGGGCACATCTTGCCTGGCAGGTCAGTACTATAGCATTCAGGGTCTATTACAATACTCCCAGGCTTTTGACAAGTGTGAGACACAAAGCAGGACAGCCCTTCCTTCCAGGTTGGAGGGCAGTGGGCAGTGGGCAGCAGGGAGGGTATAGTAGGAGCCCCACTCTCACAGCTCCCTCCTGGTCCCCAGGGTGAAGGACGCCATGGCTGCCAGTGATGACTGTGGCCACATCCGATTCTTCTCCTTCTCCCTCATTGAGGGCTACATCTCTCTGGTGATGGATGTGCAGACCCAGCAAAGGTGAGCACGGTAGATACTCATGGGGGCTGGGGCAGAAGTGCCTGCTTTCTTCTTACTGAGTCCCCCTACTCTCTTCATTAGAGGTACTCCCATAGGCACAGGGGTCATCTGAGGCCCACCAAAATGGAGATTCAAACCATAGTCCCAATGCCGTTGTCCCCAAGGTTTCATCCTGGCATTGCCTTCCGCACCTGCACCCCAAGATATAAATCAAGGGCGTCAGTTTAACATGTCCCTAGCCCTCTGAGCTCCACCATCCCTATCCCTCCAGCCTACAATGCCCTCCCCCCCCACCGCCGCCCCATAAAGCAGAGACAGCTATCCTGATCTCGAGGCACAGGATGTGGGACACAAGTTAACAGCAGCCTTTCATTTCCTCCAAAGGTTCCCGAGTCATTTGCTATTCACAAGTGCATCTGGAGAGCTCTGGAAGATGGTGCGGATAGGAGGACAGCCCCTGGGATTTGGTGAGCTCCTGTGGTCAAGACACCTGTGTGCAGGGACCCAGGATTCCTGAATACATCAACACATGCATAGATTACCTAGCTGACTTGGCTATGTTTGGTGGTCTAAACAGGGAAACTAAGGCTAGGAGAGGCTGAAGTCCCCATACTGATGGGTCCCTTTGCCGTGACATGACAAGCATACAAAGGCCTTTGGGAAACCCAGGAGTGGACTTCCACCAGAGGGCTTTTATCTTTCCCCAGCTCAAAAATTAATTCATTGGAACTGGGGGTGTGACTTACTTAGCACTAAAGTGCTTGACTAAAATTCCCAAGTGAAGGTCTGGGGGCATGGCTCAGTGGTAGAGCACCTGCCTAAGATCTATGCCCCTCTTTTTCTCCTAGATGAGTGTGGAATTGTGGCCCAGATCTCCGAGCCCTTGGCAGCTGCAGACATCCCAGCATATTACATTAGTACTTTCAAGTTCGACCACGCACTGGTGAGTATTCCCAGGACCAGGCAGGGACTGTGCAGGCAGGGAGCAGATTCCTGGGCTCACCCACTTTTTAAAACTTTTTCCTTTGCTTCCTGCTTGGTAGGTTCCAGAAGAGAATATTGGTGGGGTTATCCATGCCCTGAAGGTCAGTCAAGGAGGGAAACATTAGAAAGGGGCTCATCTTTGGGCTCTTCCCTGCCATAGCCCGCTGGGGCGTTTCCTCTCATGAAGATTATTCTTGCAGTATTTCCTTACAGACTGGAGAATTGGCCTGGGGACCCTAAGGAAGGGCCCTCTGGAACACTCCCCCTGATTGCTGACCCTTCCAGCCCTGGACCCTCTCAAAGGCCACCCCATTTCCACCTCCTGCCTTCTGGAGCCCCCAGGGTTTTTAATAATGACTCAGTTCCCTACCAGTGGGGGCTTCCCTGTCATCCGCCCCACAGTGTTGCCCCAGAAAGAGGCACCCGAGGCCCAGAGGGCTTGGGAGCAGATCTATGTAGCCTCATGCACCACTCCCGGGAAACACCAAAAGAAGCTGTCACCTCCCAGGAGATACCAAGATTGGTGTTTGGATGTACCTAGGGATATCTTTGGGGGCTGGAGGAGCAGGGTTGAGTGTGCAGAGCCTGGGAAGCCTCCATGAGGTCCTCTGAAGATGAATGGTATGATTGCTGGTCTCTGGTTTCATTGGCTCAGGGGCTGGGTCCCTTAGAGTGAAGGCCAGCAGGCTACCCTCAGGCCATAATGGCCAGTGAACCTCAGAACAGTGGGGGCTGGGGACCTGAGCTGGGGAGAACTAAGCCACCCAGCACCACATCTGCAGACCACACAGGGCCTGCATCCCAACTCCCAACACAACTGCCAAAAGGGGTCCTGAGCTGACCTCCCACCACAAGCACTTGCCCCCAGGGGAGGAGAGACTCCCAAGACACCTCCTTTCCCACCAGCCTCAAGCACCAGCTTCTGTCTTGTCCTCGGTCCACTTTCCCCAGACCCAACATGGGCAGGCCTTTGAGAACTCAGTTTCTCCCCCAGCAGTGGGCATCCCCACCATCCCAGGTTTGGAGTAGCTTAGACCATGTCCACCTCTCCTGTCAACTAGACCAGCTAAAACTCCCCCCATCCCACGTCATCCTCTTGTACCTCACTTTTAGGGGTCATAGAAGAAGCCTCAGCCCCCAGTTCACATGCCTGCCCATACTCCACAGCCTGTGGCTGTGGCAATACTTGACCTGGGAGGCAGCTATCTTGAGCCTTTGTAGAGAAAATCATATTTAAGGTTTTTTTAGTAAATGTTTTTGCATACAGGCTGCTGGGACGGGGTGTAGTTTTGGTTTGAGGAGATGGGGCCTGTGGAGGTTTATTGGGTGCCCAGAGTTCAATGGCAGTTGAGTGCCCTGTGGCCCTGGAGACAGATGTGAATACAAAGACACATCTCTGGAACCTTGACTTTGTCTTTGGAGGACAGTAATTGGAAGCCCAACTCTATCACAAGATATCAGCACTCCATGGTGCCCCCTACAGGGGGTCCTGGCATGAGGTGCCAGAACCCCATCATGCCCCCTACAGGGCACTCCAGCCAACATGGCTCACTGGCAGCATCGGATGTGGTACAGAGCACCCATGAGCCACCAGGATGTGGCATCATTAGCCACAATTGCAGGGCCCACTCAGACTCTTGATCTCGCTGTGTTTTTCAGGCTTGAGTCATGTCTCCAGGATCAAAGGAGAGAATATTTACTTAACTATTTGTTTTCTGGTTCCAAAAGGGGAACAGCCAAGTAGACAGGGCCACAGTGGAGGCCCCCTCACCCCAGTCTCCTTTTTCTCATCTTGAAAGGCCTTGCTTTTTCAGGGCACACCTCTCCATACCCTCTTCTGTCTGCCTTTCCAATTGTTCTTTCCCTCCGTACAAATGTGACCCCTGCCCCAGAACTGTGTACCCCCTAGACTTTCTAGGACAGGACTGTGTATTGTACACACCTATAAATTCCTGTCTTATGTTGATAGAGATATATTCTGTAAATAGCATATATAATTGAGCAATATATATGTTAATATATTCTGTGTGCGCAGGACACGGGCAAGGGCCCGGCTTCGTGTGTGTGTGCATGTGTGGGCCCCGCCACGTCTGCTGCACACATGGAGACATTTTTGAGCCACCATATATATTTTTAATTCAAATATGTAGGCACTATGATGATTTAGAGAAGCCCTTGGGGTTCCTGGGGTCAGCCTGGGGGATTACGACAAAAAGCACCAGCCAACTACCCCTAGAACAGGTTTGGAGGGCCAGCGTGGTCTGCCTCGTAGCTACTGCACCCATTTCCACAGCCTAGGACTCTGGATACTCTTCTTTTTTGGAGGTGGGGGCAGCATTGATCCTGGAGACAAATTGGGATTTCTTGCTTTTTAACAGTGGCTCTCTTCCCCATGGTTAACCCCAAAACCTTGGCCGATTCCTCCCCTAAGTGTCCTCTCTATAGAAAGCTGTAGACCTGCCTTCTTACCTGGATTTTTGTTGTTGTTTACTTTGGTTTGAGACAAAGGTTTCACTATGTAGATCAGGCTGGTCTCAAACTCCCAGACATCCACCTGCCCCTTTTCCCAAGTGCTGGGATTAAAGGCATGCACCACCATGCCCAGCCTTTTTTTTATTCTGCAAATTCAAGAATCTCAGGTTCTCTCCCCCTGCTATCCTCCCGGGGCTGACTCCACCTGACCCATAACAGCACGCATACGCATGTCCCTCCAACTGTATATCTGGGAGGGGCTGAGGCCTTCCCAGGACCCCACTGCTTGACCACAGTGGGTCCGTTTTCCCCCACTACATGAGGAAGCTGGGTCTCTGTGTTCTGTGCATAGCATAGGCATGATGTCTCCACAGCTCCAGGGGATGTAAGAGTCCCCATTTGGACTATCTGCTCTTATGTTTTCTGTGCCACCTGACCCCAAACTCCTGGCATCTGTTTTAATGGGGATGAGAATCACTCCACCCCCTGCTGACCTAGCCTCAGAGGTGGCCAAGATTTTCTTGGGAGGGGGTAGTTCCTTTGTGATGCTGAAGGTTGTAGGCAGGGCCTTGTGCATACTAGGCAAGTGGTGTAGCACTGAGCTGCACCCTTAGCTCCTTGGGGTTAAAAGTCTCTTGGGTCACATGGAGGGGAGAGCAGGAGCTATTAGCAAGGCAGAATTTTCAGGACTACAGCCAGAACTCCTGGACTAGTCATGGGTGTGTGTTCAACCCGAGGAGCCACCTGGGCTGCAGGAGTTGATGTCTGTCTGAGAGGCACTCTAATCAGAAATGGGGCTACGGGCTCAATGGGTAGAGTGCTCACTTAGCATGCATGAAGACCAGGGTTCAATCCCCAGCATGATATAGCACCATGGTACATGCCCATAATCCCAGCATTCAGGATGTTGGAGGCAAGAGGAGGATCAGGAGTTCAAGGCCAGCCTGGGCTACATGAGACCCTGCCTCGGGAAAAAAAGGTCAACTGTCACCACAGATTGGTGAGACTACCTGCTGAGCCTCACAACTGGGGACAAAACCCAGTCCTGACCCAACAAAAAACTGTGTATACTCACTTCCTCTACAGGGTCTCTAAAGGAACACCCTGACCCCCCAAGAGAGTCATGAAGCCCTGACCCCATAACTTTCCCCTTCTCCAAGATTCAGGGGGCCCAGAGCCTCCAGAGCCTCCCGAGCCACCAGCATTCACCCTGTCCCACCAGCTGAGGCAGGAGGTTTCTGGTGCAAGGGAAGGGTGACCCAGTTCTGTCTGCTGCCATCCTGCAGTGACATTTGGTAGCTGGAAGCAACCTGCTTAGGCTGGTATGGTGGTCCCTCGTGACATGACAGAAGGGACTGTGGAGGTCAGGAGAAGATACTCAGGCTGGTGGGAAGGGCTGGTCCTGTAGGTACAGCCAGGACTACCCTTTGCCTGGCACGTGATCCTCAAAGAAGATCTGAGCCACCTGCTGCCATCCTCTCCCAGTCACATTTCCAAGTCACCCACATGGAGCCTCTAGGTTGGATGTAGGGACAGTACAGGCTCTTCTCAGCCTCAGCTAAGACAACCCAACAAAAGCAACTTAAGGAAAGAAGGGTCCATCATGGTGGGAAAGCAGGAGCATGAGGCGTCTGGTCACATTCCATCCACAGTCAGGAAGCAGAGAGAGATGAGGCTGGTGCTCAGCCGTCACTTTCTCCTTTTTATTCAGTCCAGGACCCCAGCCCATGGGATGGTGCTGCCCACATTCAGGGTGGGTCTTCCTTCCTCAGTGAACCTGACCTAGAAACTCCCTAACAGACATGCCCAGAGGTGTGTCTCCTGGGTGATTGTAGATCCTGACAAGGATCCTTTACAATATTAACCATCACAAGATGCCCCTTGTCCACCTCCATTCACACTGTAAGGAGAACTGGAGAGCAGTGGGAGGGGTCAGCACTTGATGTGGTGAGGGGGAGCCTGGGTGAGCACGGTGGGGTGTTTTCCAACAGGGAGGTGACGTAGCTTTGGTTTTTCAAGAAATGGATACAGTGCTGAGGGTTGGGGTACAGCCTGAAAGGGCGGTAGACCTCCACTTTGACATCCTAGAGGGATGTGAAACCAAGACGGCTGCCAACCAGCTTTGCTGTATGGGGTTGTTGTGGGAGGATTAGAGCTAACCTTTTCCTCCATTTCAAAAGCTCATCCCAGATTTCTTTATTTCTGTTTTCTAACAAGCAGCAGCAAAAGGACACACTTAACTGACCTGGAGCCTCCTCCCACAGTCTGGGAGAGGAAGCCACAGGGTGACCCCAGCTTGACCTCCTGCCCCTCTTCCAAAGACTCCTCAACTGGGGAAGGGGGAGCTGCTGGCCAGGATCCCTGGTTGTCCTTGTTGCTGAAAGCACCAAGAGAGTCCTGGAGTAGAGACCCAAGGCCTAGGCTGTGGCACCTGTGGGCATCAGTTTAGTGGTGGCAGTTTGTGGCACTTGGTAGAAGAGGAGGGGAACCAGAGAGCCAGAAGCGCAGGGTGGCCCCTTCCTATGTGTCAGAATGCTGTTCCATGTGTGGTTCTATTTACGCATGTGTGTGTGTGTCCATGTATTAGGCATGAGTGTGTGTGCACATGTATGCAGAGCCCATCTTTGAGCTATAGGACTGGCTCATGTAGTATTTTAGTCCTTAGGAGTCTCACCCACTGCCATACAAGGTGACTAGGTGGGGATGCAGGCCCTGGTTCTGAGGAGGGGGGTGAGGCCAACCTGTTGGGATAGGCTTCTTTCCCCATTGTGTCCTCAATAGGGATTCTGCCCCTTAAAGGCCTGGATAGTCCATGCCAACAGCCAGAGATGGCCAGGCCCACCCGTGGGACTGGTTAAAACATTCGGTCTTAAAAGACAGTATTTGCAGTGAGAGGCTACGGACGAGAGATGCCCCTCAACTGCTGGGAACTCATCTAAAAAATGGTTCACAAGGCTGGAGACCCCAGCAGTAGACCAAATTCAGGTTCCTGTGGACTGGGCCCAGTGTGGTTTTCCTTGCCACTGCCTCAGTTTACCTATATTCCAAAAATGGTCCAGGAAGAGATGGGCCCCCAGACAACAGGGAGATGAAACAGCAGCAACAACTCTCCTAGTCGTCCTTCCTCTTGTATGCCAAAATCATTTCCGTTATCCTGAAGCAGGGGAGCAGATGACGGGTGCCCTGTGGGGTTCTTGAAGGGCCCCAGCCCTGCCCACAGCCCCCTGACCCTCACCTGGCATGCCGTGCCCAAGTCACCAGCAACAGTGGTACTTCAGTCCTGCGGCTCAGGTGCAAGGGAGAAGTGGGCAGTCCTACACCATCCACCCCCAGGCCACTCATGCTTTTGTCTAAGAAACACAAAACCCTTTAGAGTCGTGGACTGTGTGATGAAAAAAAAAAAAAAAGTACCTAATGTTTCCCCCCCAAAAAGACAGTATATTTTGTACTTTGTAAAGTGTTCATTAAAATGAAGGAAAAACAAAATTATGTTGGCCGACGGCTGTCTGATTTTGTGTTGATTCATCCAGGATCATGTCTTGTTTCTTCCCCTTTTCCCTGTTTGTTTAGAAGAACATAGGTTATGGGCAGGACCTTCAGGTATAATATCCTGAGTCTGAGAAACAGCTCCCCAAGTGAGAGGGCTATATCAGATACCTGATGTTGTGTAACAAGTTGTCCCAACATGTGGCTTAAAATGATTATAGGGACTGAAGAGATGGCATAGTAGTTAAGAGCACTGGCTGCTCCTGTAGAAGACTCAGGTTTGATTCCCAGCACCCACATGGTGGCTAACAACCATCCATAACTCCAGTTCCAAGGGATCCCTTGCTCTCTTCTGACCTCCATGGGCACTGCATGACATGGGTGCATGTACACACATGCAGGCAACACACTTGTACACATAAATTTTTTTTTTGGTCTTGTTGAGACAGGGTCTCCCTGTAGCCTCAGCTGTCCTGGAACTCACCATGTAGACCAGGCTGGCCTTGAACTCACAGAGATCCGCCTGCCTCTGCCTCCCGAGTGCTGGGACTAAAGGTGTACTACCACACCCAGCTCATAATGATCATTTTTTTTTTAATATTTTTATTTTGCCGGGCGTAGTGGTGCATGCCTTTAAGCCCAGCACTCGGGAGGCAGAGGCAGGCAGATCTCTGTAAATTCAAGGCCAGTCTAGGCTACATAGTGAGTTCCAGGCCAGCTGGAGCTACAGGTAGCCCCTGTCTCAAAAAAAGGGAAAAAAAAGAACACTATGGTGTTGGGGATTTAGCTCAGTGGTAGAGCGCTTGCCTAGCAAGCGCAAGGCCCTGGGTTTGGTCCTCAGCTCCGAAAAAAATAAGATCATTATAAGCCAGGCATGGTAGCACATGCCTGTCCTAGCACTAAGGAGGCTGAGACAAAATGATCAGGAGTCCCAGGCTAGCCTGGGCTACATAGTGAAACCTTGTCTCAAGGAAGAAAGAGAAAGGGGAAAGGGACTGGAAAGATGGCTCAGGACTTGAGTACTTACTGTTCTTTGCAGAGGACACCAGTTCAATTCCCAGATCAAGGTCAGACAGCTCGTATCTGCCTGTAACTCCAATTCCAAGAGGATCTGATGCACTCTTCTGGATCCCACACTCCATTCATGAGCACATACCCACACAAGGACACACATAATTTAAAAAATAAAAATACTTAAAAACAACCTAAAAGAATGCTTTATCTTAGCTCCTAGTTTCAGAGGGGTTAGCCCCTGGTCCATTGGCTGTGTTTCTGGGCCCATGTGAGGCAGAGCATCATGGTGGCAGGAGCACGTGGAGAAAGCTGTTCCCATCGCACCAACCAGAAGCAAAGAAGGGAATACAGGAAGGGGCCAGGAAAGACATAGCCCCCAAGGATGCATCTCCAGTGACCTACTTCCTCCAATGAGGCTCTGCCTCCTACCTCTCACCACCTCCTAATAATGCCATCAAGGCACTGATCCATTGATTATGTCTGAGCCCTCATCTAAAAATGTTTCTGAGCCGGGTGTGGTGGCACACACCTTTAATCCCAGCACTCAGGAGGCAGAGGCAGGCGGATCTCTGTGAGTTCAAGGCCAGCCTGGTCTACATAGTAAGTTCCAGGACAGCTGGGGCTACAGGGAGACCCTGTCTCAAAAAGACCAAAAAGAAAACGTTTCTGGACATACCATCTTAGAAACACTCGGGAGTGTGTCTGCAAATCTCCTAAGTGTCTATCAGTCCAATCAGGTTGACAACAATCACAGCCACCTTGGTAGAATGTCAAGAATGGGGGCTGGAGCTGGAGAGATGACTGAACAGTTAAGAGCACTGGCTGCTCTTGCAGAAGACCTGGGCTCAGTTCCTAGCACCCATGTCAGGTGGCTTACAACCATCTGTAACTCCAGATCCAGGAGACTCCACGGGCACTGCACTCATATGGTGCACAAACAACAGACAAACATATATACACATGTAAAAATAAATCTTTTTTTAATATGCCAGTGGAGTCAGCTTTCTCCCAGAAATCATTGTAGAATGGCAGTCCACATGTTGCAAGGGGCTGAAAAGACAATTCTGAAGACAGATCTCATTCTGGGCAAAGTGAGCCACATACCTATACCCCCGTGTGCATACACATAACTAAAAATAATAAAAATAAATTTAAAAATATTTTTAACAGGCTGGCCGGGCGTGGTGGCACATCTTTAATCCCAACACTCAAGAGGCAAAGGCAGTTGGATCTCTGTGAGATCAAGGCCAGCCTGATCTACATAGCAAGTTCCAGGCCAGCTGTGGCTACAGGGAGACCCTATCTCCAAAACACAAATGGGCTGGAGAGATGGTTCAGCAGTTAAGAGTACTGGCTGCTGTCACAGAGGACCCAGCTTCAGTACCTAGCGCCCACATGGTGACTAAAAACCATCACTCCAGTTCCAGGGGATCTAACACCCTCTTCTGGCCTCCTCAGGCACCAAGCACACATAAAATACTTGAAGGGGCGGGGGATGTTGAGTGCTGCCTCAGTTTGCCCAGGGTGTTATTCATACACTCACTGAAATGAAGACAGAGCTGTGCTCATAAATACAGAGCTTTCACAGGAGCAGAATGATAAACCACAGCAACCAAGCTAATGGCTTAGCATTTCCGGGTATGTGTCAGGTGCTAGGGGCAATGGAGGCTGGGTACAGAAGGGACAAACACTGACACTCAAGTACAGATGACAGCTGAGCAGAGGGCCCCGAAGCAGGAATCCTGGTGACCCTAAAAAGGGTACAAGTGAGCTGCCTACCCAGCCAGGCTGACCAACCTCAACAGTTTGTGAAACACGATTTTGGGAAAACAAGGTTTGGGACACCATTTTTCTGTACAATGGTAACTAAAGTTATTTTGTTTTGTTTTGGTTGTTTTTTGGTTTAGTGAGAGTGTCTCATGTAGCCCAGGCTGGCCTTAATCTCCACAGCAGCCAAGGATGAACTTGAACTTCTGATCCTCCTGCCTCCATCCTCACCACCGTTGGGATTAAGGGAAGGTGGCACCATACCAGGCTTGTGTGGTGCTGAGAATCAAACCCAAGACTTTGTGCATGACAAACAAGCACTTCACCAGGTCAGTTCCCAGCACCCACATGGTGGCTAAAAACCATCTGTAACTCCAGTTCCAAGGGATCCAATGCTCTCTTCCGGCTTCCATGGACACTATACAACACAGATACACTTCCATACATACAGGCAAAACACTCATTCACATAAAAGTAAAATTTAAAAATGAAAAAATCATGCACTGGCACACTCCATCCTTATTTTTAATTATGTGTCTGTGTGTATGTGCAATACCTGCAGTATCTGTGGAGGCTGGAAGAGGGCATTGGATTCCCTGGTGCTGGAGTTACAGGTTGTTGTGAGCCACAGGATATGGGTGCTGGGAACCCAACTCAGGTCCTCTGCAAGAGTAGCAGTACTGGGTTTTTTTGTTTTTTGTTTTTGGTTTTTTTTCTGGTCTTTTTGAGACAGGGTTTCCCTGTAGCCCCAGCTGTCCTGGAACTCACTATGTAGACCAGGCTGGCCTTGAACTTACAGAGATCTGCCTGCCTCTGCCTCCTAAGTGCTGGGATTAAAGGTGTGCGCCACCACGCCTAGCCCAGTACCGGTAACTCTTAACCTGAGTCATTTCTCTACCACCAAACTAATTTTTGAGAGTCTCACTATATAGTTCTGGCTGGCCTTGAACTCAGTCCTCCTGCCTCAGCCTCTCAGTGCTGGGATTTCAGGTCTATGCCACCACACCTAGGTCCAAGGTCAAGATCACGATCAACTAGAACCATGGAGAACACCCATCATCAACGCTATCTTTGACCCCTAGGTACCCACTCTCTGAAGGTCTATGTGTGGACCAACTTGCATTTCATTGGAGCTGGATTACTGTTCTTCAGTGCTGTGGCAACTTTACAAAAATTTATTTTATTTTATTTTATGTGTATGAGTGTATCACCTGCATTACCTAAGTGCACCCCATCATGCAGTGCCCATGGACAACAGAAGAGGGTGTCAGATCCCCTGGAACTGGAGTTATAGATGGTTATTAGCCTCCATGTGGGTGCTGGGATTTGAACCCAGGTCTTCTGCAAGAACAGCCAGTGCTCTTAACCACTAAGCCATTTCTCCAGCCCTATTTTATGTGTATGAGTGGTTTGTCTCCAGGGATGTAGGTGCCACCATGTGTGTACAAGGCCTGCAGAGGCCAGGAGAGGGCATCAGATCCTCTGGGTTACAGATGGTTGTTAGCTGCCTGTGGGTGCTGGAAACTGAACCCAGGTCTTCTGCAAGAACAGCCAGTGCTCTTAACCACTAAGCCATCTCTCTGGTCTAGGCTTCTATTTCAAGTTCACGGAAATTTTTCCCGTAATAATTCTAAGACTGACACTCACAGGGAAGGAGAAGCAGCATCTGCCCAGGTGAGCATCTCTGCAGGTGCTAAAACAGCTGTTCTCCCATACCAGCCAGCTGGTTCTCACGGCAGCCTGGTGGATGACCCCTCAACATTAACTTGTACCCTTCCAACACATCCCATCCCTGTGGTTAAGCTACACAAGGCAGGGATTCTTGTCATCAATTGACCAAATGTGAACCATGTTTGTACCTAAGGGACTCACATGTACCTATAGAATGAATGAGGTAACTATGGGGCACAGCAAGCAGTGAGTGGGAGACCATAATTAGTGACGTGGGTACCAGTTCTTTTCCCAGCTGAACTAGGGAAGAATACATCCACTGAGAAAATACTTTCCAAGGGCTTAGGAAGATGGTTCAGTGGGTGAAGTGCTTGCCTGACAAGCATGAGGAAGTGAGCTCAATCCCCAGAACACAAATGGTGGCATATACCTGTAATCCCAGAGCTGGGGACGTAGACAGGAGGATCCCTGGAGCACTGGCCACCCAGCCTAGACTACTTAGCAAGTTTCAGGTCAGTGAGAGACTCTGTCTCAAAAACTAAGTTGGACAGGGCTTGAGGAATGATGACTGACATTTTCCTCTGGCTTTCATGTGTATGTGCGCGTGCATGTGCGCGCGCACGTGCGCGCGCGCACACACACACACACACACACACACACACACACACACACACACACAAAATACTTCCCAAGTGGGACTCTCCTAAAGTGTTTTCCACTGGCTTCTATTTGACTCTTTTTTTTTTTTTTTTTTTTTTTTTTTTTTTTTGGCTTTTTGAGACAGGGTCTCCCTGTAGCCACAGCTGGCCTGGATTCACTATGGAGACCAGGCTGGCTTCACAGAGATCCACCTGCCTCTGCCTCCCAAGGCTGTGCCACCATGCCCAGCTCTCTATTTGACTCTTTTATCATCTCTAAATGATCAAGCAAAACATTTACAAGACCTTGTCCATCCTTAAAAAAAATGCAGAAAATAGACTTTATTCCAAGAGACATTTTAAAAGGCTGTTTTGAAAGGAAAAGATGACTTTTCTTACAAAAACAAATGTTTTCCCAATTTCTGGGGCTTTCTGCTCCAAGACCGTCCTCTAGCCCACACACATTTGGCCTGCAGCTTCTTCCTCCAGGCTTCTGGGTGGTTCTGAGGCAGGCAATGAAAAAAATTTAGAGCCTGGACCACCACAGGCCCTGGGGTGCAGGACTGGCTCACACTGGCTTCTCCATGTAGAATCTCAGGCCAAGGTATTCCAGGTTGCCAGACTGTGTCCTTCTGGGGAACCTGCAGTGTGGCAGCTGACCAGAGAGGTCAGTGGGAGACAAGGGACTGAGAGCTGACCCAGCTGAAGGCAGCTGGCTGCCTTGCTGGGCTGGAGCCAGCCTGAGGCCTCCACTCGGCCAGCTATAACAGGACTACCAAGGCCCTCCTAGTGCCTTGTCCTATCTCCCATCTTAAGATCAAATGTGTCATGAGCAACCAGCTAACCTAAGAGTAATGCATCCAGCCTAACCCTACCCTACAAACCACTATGTGCTAGGTGAAAAGGGTGAGGTGTGAACCACCCCAGCCATCTAGGGTCCCGATGCCCTGGGACTCCTCAGGAGCCTGGCAAGTCAAAGACAGCTGTCCTGTGCTTAGTTTAGCAGGCCAAGGCCTTGGCAGAGGAAGGGCCTTGTCTGGAGACTCCCAATATAACCTCCACGCTGAGGGTGCAGAGCAAGCCTCACACTCTACACTCTGGCCTTCTCTCTCATAAGCCCCACTGGCAATCACTCCCTGCCTCTGCCGAGCCCTCTGTGTGGTTCCAAGGCCAGGGCCAGGCTGGGTCAGGCCAGAAAGAAGGTTTAGATGAATGACTTGGCCAGAGTCACCATGTGATCCACGCCACATGCTATGTCCACAGGCTCACCGGGCATCGTCACCTGTAAAACAAGCCCAGGAACAGAGTGAGGGAATGGGCAGACAGGCTCTGGAGACCTGCCTGACTCTGCCTCTTTTCTTTGAGACAGGGTCTCATAGCATAGGCTAGCCTCCAACTGGCTATACAGCTGAGACTGACCTTGAACTTCTGATCCTTTGGCCTTCACATCCCGAGTGCTGGGAACCCAGGGCTTCAAGCATACTAGGTCAGCTCTCCACCCACTGAGTCATACTCCCAGCCTGGCTTTTTGGCAGTTCCCTTGCCCACTGTGAACATGGCTCCACCCTGAAAATGGAATGCCCACATCAACCCACAAGTTGTCAGGTCTAGGAAAAGGCCACCCCAGTGCCCTGCCCACCAGTGACACCCCATCATTTCTAGTGGTCACCCCAGAAGGGTGGCCTTGGGCGAGGACATGGATATCTGGTGGCACTGTCCTATGAGCATGGCCTCCAGGCCCTGGGGCTTGATGTTCAGTGACCTTCCCTGGGAGTCACCACAGCACTTCCCAAGAGTTCAGGACACGTTCTTGCCTGGTGGATCCAGTGTGGGCATGGGGCTGTGCTGGCCCATGGACTAATCACTTTATCTGATCCCTCTGCAGACATGGGCTGGGACTCACGTGTCCCACATCATGGCTACCCTAGAGGTGGAGTTTCTCACCCCTAGGGGTGTCTCAAAACACACGGGGGCCTTTCCACAGTCCCAACTGTGCTGCCCCTTGGCCAGTGTTTCTCCCAGGAAGGTCCAGCCCTAAAACCAGCAGAAGACAGCCTCATCCCACCCTTACAGCTGGAGCCTGACTGCCTCCCAAGGATGCTCACTGTTTCAGAGTCTTCTCTGCCTTGGAAACTGACACCCTAGACTGTCTAGGCCTCAGAGCTATACTGGACCTCCAACTTCTCTCCTACTTTCAAAAAATTGAGTATTTTTTTAAAACTTTATGTGTGTGTTTTGTCTGAATTATGTAAATGCATCACATGCATGCAATGCCTGTGGAGGCCAGAAGAGGGCATTGGTTCCCTAGAACTGGAGCTACAGATAGTTGTTAGTTGCCATGTGGGTGCTGGGAACTGAACCTGGGTCCTCTGCAAAAGCAACCAGTGCTCCCAACTTCTGAGCCAACCCTCCAGCCCCTTGGGGGTTTTTTGTTGATTATTTTTTGACAGGGTCTCCCTAGTCACAGCCCACATGAAGTCATGATATGGCCTCAATCCTGCAGAGATCTACCTACCTCTGCCTCCTGAGTGCTGGGATTAAAGATGGCTACCACCATGGGTGGCATTTTCTTTAATTATTACATTTATATATTTGGTGAGGGGGTGGGGGGTAGGTACATGCCAGGGCACACTCCTGGAGGTCTGAGGACAACCTGTGGAAGTTGGTTCTCTCCTTCCACCATATAGTTATGGGATATCGAACTTCAAACTCAGTACGTCAGGCTTGGTGGGTAAGTGCCTCTACTCAATGGGCTCTCGCTGGCCATAAATTTATTTTTAATTAATTAATTTTTTTTTGGTGTGCACCTATATAGGAGTATACTCAGCTGTGTGTAAAAATGTCAGTATCTTCCTCTATCCTTCTCCACTTTATATGAGACAGTCTCTCACTATGTAGCCCTGGCTGGCCTGGAATTTACTAGGCAGACCAGGCTAGCCTTGAACACAGAGCTCTGCCTGCCTCTGCCTCCTGAGTGCTGGGATTAAAGGTGTGCACCACCTAACTTTTTAAGACAGATCTCTCACTGAATCTGGATCTGCCTGTTTCCACACTCCCATGAGGCACTGGGTTATAGATGCCCACTGCTGTGCATGGCTTTTATGGGAGTGTTGAGGATCCAAACTCACATCCTCATGCATAGCAAGCACTTTACCCACCGAGCCATCTTCCTGAGGCTTCATTATTTTTATTTTATGTGTATGAGTGTTTTGCCTGCATGTATGTAAGCACACCAAATATACGCAATGTCCATGGGGACCAGAAAAGGGTGTCAGATTCCCTGGAACTAGAATTATAGAAGGTTGTTAGCCAACATGTGGGTACTGGGAACACAACCTGAGCCCTCTTACAAAAGCAGCCAGTGCTCTTAACCACTGAGCCATCTCTCCAGCCCCTTATTTTGGTTTTGGAGACAGATCTTACTACATAGCCTAAGATGGCCTAGAACTTGAGGCAGTCCTCCTGCCTCAGCTTCTGAATGCTGGGATTACAGGTAGTAGCACCATGCCCACTTTCTTTCTTGTTTATAACAGTTAATACAATTATGAACAGGCAATGCATTCATAGAGCTTCTCTATAAAAAATAAAGAACATAGATGGGGCTGCAGATCAGTGGATAGAGCACTCGACTAGCATGCATGAGGCCCTGGGTTCAATCCCCAGGCATGATGCACACCTGTCATCCCAGCACTCTGGAAGTGAAGGCTAGAGATCAGAAGTTCAAGGTCATTCTCAGCTACATAGTGAATTTGAAGCCAGCCTAGGCTATATGAGACCCTGTCATAAAAAAATAAAAGAGTGACCAAGTATTAAATACCTTTTTAATACCCCTGTCATACCCTTGCCCTGCTTCTAACTGGGAACTACTAAACCACAGGTTCTCCATACAGAGGGGTATGTGCCAGCCATGCCTCCCTAGGTGACATATGAGGACAGCTGCCTGCATGGCTGTGCCTCAGACCCTCTCCAGGATATAAATGTGGGCTCTACTGGCCAGAGCCCAATTTGACCATTCTTCCCTGCTGGTCACTGCAGAGGACCTGTGACAGCTTGGGTGGTTTCCTGTTAGGGAGGAAATGCCTACACCTAGTGGCCTGGCCTAAAAGTAGAGCCCATAGGCGCTGAGCCCAGAACTTCAACACCATTAGGGGCTGGCTGCCATCCTCGCTGCCTTCCCAAACAAACACCTTGGCAGGTGCTGCCACAGTCCACAGAGCAAATAGAAACAAGCCTGGGTAACAGTGGGGGCATTGAGCTGCAGATGCTGCCCCAGTATGGCCCCAGAAAGCAGCAGCGAAGGGCTGCCCCTTCGCAGTGACCTAGCCAGGTGGGCTCTTAGCAATCTCCCAGGCCCCTGCAGAGCATCTGTTTACCTTCCCTGACAAAGTGCCCTGCCATGATCATACACAGCAGCCAGCTGCACTCAGCACCTGTGTACTGCTCCCCATTGGCTCCAGCCATTAGAGCCCAAAGTGCAGGAAGTCCCTTGGCCTCTGCCCACTGGCCAGGACCTTGGGCCAGCAAGGACCTTTGAGGGACAGCAGTGGCTCCTGAGCCTCCAGCACCCCCTGCTGAGTGTCTTTCTCGGTCTCTGAACTGACTCCACAGCAAAGCTGTAGAGATTTTGGTTTGGGGGTCTCATGTAGCCCAGGCTGGCCTCAAACTCCCTATGTAGCTAAGGATGGCCTTGAACTCCTGATCCTGCTCTATCATGTTCAGTTTATGTGATACTGAGGATGAAACCTCAAGGCTTCCTGCATGCTGGCCTGGAACTCGCTATGTAGACCAAACTGGTCCTAATCTCAGAGATCCTGTCCCTGCCTCCCAAGTGCGGGAATTAAAGAAGTACAACACCATGCCCAGCATTTTTTTTTTTCCATTGTTTAAGACTGGGTCTCGGGGCTGGAGAGATGGCTCAGCAGTTAAGAACACTGGTGGTTGTTCTTGCAGAAGACCCAGGTTCGAATCCCAGCACCCACATGGCAGCTAACAGCTATCTGTAACTCCAGTCCCAAGGGATCCGACAGCCTCTTCTGACCTCCGCCAGCATTGCACAACACGGGTACACTTACCTACATGCAGGCAGTACATGCATACACATAAAATAAAAATAATAATGCCGGGCATGGTGACGTACACCTGTAATCCCAGCACTTGGGAGGCAGAAGCAGGCAGATCTCTGTGAGTTCAAGGCCAGCCTGGTCTACATAGTGAGTTCCAGGACAGCTGGGGCTACAGGGAGACCCTGTCTCAAAAAAGACCGAATGAATGAATGAATGAATGAATGAATAAATAAATAAAATTTAAAAAAAAAAAGACTGGGTCTCATGTAGCCCAGGCTGGCCTCAAACTTGCTATGTAGCTGAGGATGACCTCGAACTTCTCATCCTTCAGCCTCCACCTCCCTAGTTCTGCTATTACAGATGTGCACACCCTAACCATCTTATGTGGTCTGAGGATAGAACCCAGGGCATCACACATACCAGGTAAGCACTCTATAGACTGAGTCACATTCCCAGCCCCTCTGGTGGCCTTTTACAATGAATGGAACACTGGGTAGGCTACTCCCTCCAACTCTTCATGCAACAAGTCCCTGGTGTGAACTGACCCCATGGACTGACAGGCTAGAGCCCTCCATGCTGGCAGGCTGGTGCTAGGTGTCACCCCGCACATCGCCATCTCTCGGGCCTGCTCAGAGCCTGTGAAAAACTAGCACAAGGTGAGCAGTAGGTCCTAGGCCCCCATACTGGCTAGCTGCTGCCCCAGGCCAGCCAATTGCCTGGCACATCTTCACAACCCACCCTGCATGGCCTTCCTTACCCTCCATGGGAAGTACTGGTCCTCCAGACGGCCAATCCCCAGGCACCCTCGGAGGTTCTTGCCCCACACAAACAGCTCACCTTTGTCTGCAAAGGAAGGAAGACAGGCCTTGGTGGAGCTACGCAAAGAATAGGTCACCAGGGACGAACAGGGCCCATTGCTCAACTCAGCTTTGAGCTTCCCTTCATGGGAAAAGCACCTTAGACAATGTTTGCATTCCAAAACCAGGTCCCTACCCAGGACTTTTGCCCACTGTCCACACAGCAGATGAGTCTGTGTAGAGAGCAGGCCAGGGGCTCCTGTGCACAGTCCACTCTGCTCACCCTGATGGTCTGCCACCACCCACAGCTCCATCTGATCCAGCTCTACCCTCCAAAATCCCTGGCTACAGCTGGAGTTTCTAACTGACAGTGAGAGGCAAGAGAACTAGTCACTGTTTGGGTTTCCAAGTGTGGGGGCATTCTGTCAGGAGAAAAAGTGACTGGGTGCCAGTCTGTGACAGTTCTATGTGTGCTGGACATCAGGGACAGGACAGCAATTAAACAAACAGGTATCCTGCCCTCATAAACTTGACATAGTAGAAGAGCTAGAAATGAACAAATGGCCAAACTAATACAATGATCAGACATTGAAGAAAAGTGCACTAGCATTCAGCCAAGGCCCCAGCCCCTCACTGGGGGATTCTAGGCAGGCACTCTATCACTGAGCTATATCCACAGTCCTCTTTTTTTTGAGACAGGGACACCCTAAGTTGCCCAGGCTGGCTTTGAATTTTCTCTGTAGCCCAGAAAGGTCTTAAACTTCATGTAGCCCAGGTTGTCCTCAAACTCAGGGATGACCTTGAACTTCTAATCCTCCTGTTTTAACCTCCCCATTGCTAGGATTACAGGCATGTGCCACCATGCCTGGTTTACGCAGTACTGGGGATAGAGGCCAGAGCTTGGTTTTGTGCATGCTAGGCAAACATGCTACAACTGAGCCACATGCCCAGCCTAAGATATTCTTCTTTCTTTCTTTTTTATTTTTTTAATTTATGTCTAAGTTCATTATAGAATCACAGGTGGGAGCTTAAGAGGTTTCAGTGATGAACTCACATCAAAGGACATCTGGGTACACAAACTTGACTCGATAGGCTTTAACATGTATGACAGAATGCATGAAATCCAGTGGGCAAGCTATTTGGGGAGTGCTGACAGGGGAGAGGGTCTAAATATGATTAAGATGTATGAAATGCAGGCCAGGCGTGGTGGCGCATGCCTTTAATCCCAACACTCAGGAGGCCGAGGCAGGCGGATCTCTGTGAGTTCAAGGCCAGCCTGGTCTCCATAGCAAATCCAGGCCAGCTAGGGCTACAGGGAGACCCTGTCTCAAAAAGACCCCCCCCAAAAAAAGGTATGAAATGCACAAAAATTCAATAAAAAATATATATTGAAAAAAATAAAATAGAGAAAGAGAGACAGACAGCTAGACAGCCATGCCATTTGAGTTAGGCATGGAGGTCAGCCACGTGGCAGACCAAATTACCAAAAAAAGCATACATAGGCTCTGGCCAGAATCAAAAAAAGAAGAGAAGTGAAAAAGGAAACATTACATCTTTTTCCCAAAAAGACTTTTCAAAGCTGTGTGGTTGTGCATGCCTTTAGTTCCAGCACTCAGGAGGCAAGAGGCAGGTGGATCACTGTGAGATCAAGGCCAGTCTGGTTTACATAGTGAGTTCCAGGCCAGCTGGGGCTACAGGGAGACCCTGACTCAAGAATACAAAACAAAGAAGACTTTTCAATTGCAAGGATGTAGTTAATACGCATGGGAGTCACAGTTAACACACTGCAGAGTGGCTGCCTGGCCTGACAGTATGGTGGTGGAAAGGGAGACATAATCAAGGAAAGCCCACCGTCCCGACACCTATAGAGCAACTTAATGCATGGCTGTCACCTGGACAGCCTTGGAAAAAGCCTCTAGCCAGCTGGCCCTTTGGTCATCCCCTCCCCAGCACTTCGGAAGCTCTGAGCTTTGCCACCAGCAAGTCACAGTGGGCTACTTGCCCTCACACACAATCACTTCCTCATCACCCACCAATGGGCCAAACCTCTCCTGGTCTTCAGCATCCTACCAGACCCGTCTCCCCCAACAATGGGTGCCTCCCCAGAGATCACACTGCAGCATGAGCCTGACCACAAACCAAAGGACCAAAACCCAAATGCCAGCACGTAAAGGCCAGTCCACCTCTGCCATGGCTGCCCTCTTTATTTACCCTACAAAGACGTTGATCTAATGGATGGATGGAAGGAAAAAGGGAAGGGAAGGGGAGGGTGGGATGGAAGAAAGGATGGATAGATAGATGGAATGTAAGTAGAAGGAAGGAAGGGAAGATGGAGGAGAGAAGGAGGGAAAAGAAGAAGAATGGAAGGAAAAGCAGACATGGATAGACAGATGGAAGGGAGGGAGGAAAGAAGGGGACAGATGGCTGGATGGATAGAAGGATGGATGATAGAAGTACAGAAGGAAGGATGAATGTGGATGGACAGAGGATGATGGATGGGTGGATGGACAGACAGAAGGATGAATGAATGTGGATGGATAGACAGATGGGTGGATGGATGGAAGGATGGATGAATGAAGTACTGAAGGATGGATGGATGGATGGATGAAGTACTGAAGGATGGATGGATGGATGAAGTACTGAAGGATGGATGGATGGATGGATGGATTACTGAAGGATGGATGGATGGATGGATGGATGGATGGAGTACTGAAGGATGGATGGATGGATGGATGGATGGATGGATGAAGTACTGAAGGATGGATGGATGGATGGATGGATGGATGGATGGACAGAGGATGGATGGATGTGGATAAACAGATGGATGATGGATGGAAGCTGAGTACTGTCCCAGTTTGAGAAGGAACAAACCTTGGCCCAGCCACCCAGCAGCAGGGTCACTTACTGGTAAGTGCGGCAAAGTGGCTGAGCCCACATCGGACCTGGGAAACTTGAACTTCAGAGTTGAACTCTGTCAAGCCAAAAAGTGTGGGTGGAATCATTTCTGGAAGAGCTGTTTCCAAGAGGTTTGGTCCTTTTCCAAGAATTCCGTAGCCCCAGACGAAAACACATCCTTCTTCTACATTACAACAAAAACAACAGTTGGTCAGTCAAGCAGAGTATAGCCCTCCCTCCCTCTCCAGAAGTGCAAGCTGGGGGTGTGGTTCAGTTGGTAGAGTGGTTGCCTAATATGAAGAGAAATGGGTTCTGTCCCCAGCACCATATAAACTGGGCTTAATGATGGATACTGTAATCTCAGCACTAAGGAGGTAGAAGCAAGCAGATAAGAAGTCATCTTGGGATACAAGAGACACCGTCTCAAAAAAAAGAAAAGGAAGCCAGGCGTTGTGGGGTATGCCTTTAATCCCCACACTTGGGAGGTAGAAGCAGATGGAGCTTTGTGAGATAGAGGCCATTCTGGGGTCACCATAGCCAGTCCCACCAGCTGTGGCTACAGGGAGACCCTGTCTCAAAAAGACCAAAAAAGAAAAGGAAATGCAAAGGGGTTCTTCTCTCCTTCTAGTCCCATGGCCCAGGGTTTTACCTCTGCTTGCAGGAACATGCTGGAGACTGGAAATATTTCTCCTCTCTCCCCTACTGAAATTCTTGTCTGAGGAGTCTGCCCTAGGGAGGTAGCCAATCTCAGAGCAGAAACAGCCATCTATTTAGAGTGATGGGGGGTCGGGCCAGAAAACCCACTGGATGCCAGAAAACTTGAGGACACTTTTCCCTTACCAATACCTCCAAGTTTCACACTGATCAAAGGACCATGTTGGACACAAGCCATTCTGGCCAGATTCTTACAACTTTTTTTCTAGTTTGTTTTTTTCCGGAGAATGTTTGTTTTTGAGATACGGTCTTGCTATGGTAGCCCAGGCTGGTCTTGAAATCCCCAGTGCTGAGGACCAGAACCCTGCACTACAACATCCCAGCCTTCTTTCCCTTTCTCTTTTCCCTCCCTTCTTCCTTCCCTTTCTCCCTTCCTTCTTCCTTCCTTCCTGTTCCCCTCTCGTCTTCCGTTCATTTGGGAACAGTACCAAGGATAGAACCCAGCTCCTCATGTACATACACTAAACAAGCACTTTCTACTGAGTTACACTCCAGTACTGGCTATAAAAAGTTTAATACTGGGGGCTGGACAGATGGCTCAGCAGTTGAGAGCACTGGTTGCTCTTACAGAGGACCTGGGGTTGATTCTCAGCACCATATGGCAGCTAACAACCATCTATAACTCCAGTTCCAGGGGATCCCATGCTCTCTTCTGATCTCTGTGGACACTGCATGACATGGGTGCATTTACATACATGCAGACAAAACACTCATACACACAAAATTAAAAAATAATAAATTTTCTTTTAAAGTTTAATACTGCAGCTTGGGGTGCAACTCAGTGGTAGAACACTTATTTTGCATGCATGAGGCCCTGTGTTTGATGCCTAGTATCCTAACACCCCTGCAAAATGAGTTTAATACTCATCAGTACGGTGAGACATTTAACATAAGGGCCCAAATCTCAGTATCTAAACTCTTGTCTTTTTTTCTGTTTGTTTTTGTTGTTGTTTCGAGACAGGGTCTCCCTGGAACTCGCTATGTAGACCAGGCTGTCCTTGCTCTCACAGAGATCCACCTGCCTCTGCCTCCCAAGTGCAGAGACTAAAGGCATGCACCACCACACCTGGCTCTAAACTGCTCAGCTCAGCAGCACAGCACTTGCCCAGAATCCTCCAGTGAGGGGTTGGGGATGTGGCTCAGTGGCAGAGTACCTGCCTAGAATCCCTCAGTGAGGGCTAGGAGAGGGCTCAGTGGCAGAGCACCTCCCTAGAATAGCCCAGTGAGGGGCTGGGAGAGGGCTCGGTGGTAGAGCATGTGCTTACCACACACAGGGCCCTGGGTCTGGCACCTAGCACCAAGATGTAGACATCTGCTACAGATACAGAATGACTGAGCTCTTCTGCTGTCTAGATACCTATATCATGAGCTACTAACCTGTTGGGAATCTCACCCCTACCCTGTATTCACTGAACTAATGCAGTAAGATGGTCCCATGGCCACACTGCCCTCCTCTGGCAGTCAATACAGTCTGAAGCTGAAGCACACAGACTGACCCCTCCCCAGTCTGATCAGCGTAGTGCATCCCAAAGAGCTGTCAAGAAGTGTTTCTCACCATTCAGTACAGCACAGCCCGTGCCACCACAAGCTGCCTGCTTCACCTTGCCCACTCCTGAGAAGGGCAAGCACCGAGGGATATTTACCTGTGCCAAAGAAAGGGTGGACATGGTTAGGAAAACAAACCAGCCAGACGCCGAAAGTATCCTGGGCTTGTGTCCCAGTTCATTCATGCACTCTGCAAAGTTCTCCCCAGCATCTCCAACTCACTCAGACTCCTAACCAAGGGCTTGGGATACAGAAGTGAGCGAGAGAGACCTTGTTCCCACTCTTCTGAGAGGCAGATGTCAATCAAACTCAGTACTTAGTCACATTTGTGCTACTTAGTCACAATGTGGAAAGGGGGTTTGCTGGAATCTCAGAGGCCAGCCTGGCATGGAGGGGGAGCCAGGGAAGGCGTCACTCTTCCTGGTGACTCACTGTCTAAGCTGAGTAAGGGTAGCTAGCTAAGCAAGGGGAGACAGAAGCATCCTACAGTGGGAGATGGACATGCCAAGGCAACAGGGCCAGCACAGTCTGTTCTAAGAGGTCAGGACTGCAGAGCAGAACAAGGAAGAAAATGGTACAAGTCCCCAGTGGGGAGTCGGAGGCCAGATCGCCCAGGACCTGTGCCAAAGAAAACGATGCATGGATCTGGTCCTTATTATGGGTTGAATCTGAAACAGCCCCACAGACTCCTGCTTTGAAACTTCTCCCCTGCTATGATTTGCTACTTTGGGGACTGTGGAACCTTTAGAGGGACTGGCTGGTAGAAGTAAGTCAACGGGGGCTGGTCTTTGAAGGTTACAGCATACCCTCTGCTCCTAGATCCATGATGTGAACAGCCTCTACTACACACTCCACTGCCATGGACTGAACGGCTCCACCATGCCTCCATGATGGACTGACTGACCCTGAAACTATGAGCCAAGAGAAACTTTCTCTGCTAAAGCTGCTTCTGTCAGGTACTGTGGTCACCGTGACACAAATGTAGCTGATACAGTCCTTATCTTAAACACAATGGGAAGCCAGTGAGGAGCTGAATGGGGCAGAGACACAATGGCAGGATGCAGGTGACCAAGAGAGGGGGAGGGGCACAAGCTCCCATTGGATGCACTAAACCAGCCATGTCTACTGGGAAAAGGGAAGTCAAGAGGGAAAGTCAATGGGTACAGAAAGATCTGGAACTCTGAGAGGCCAGGCCTCAAGGCAATCAGAAGAGAGACATTGCTATAGAGATGGCTGCTGAAGCTGTAGGTACAAAGCCTTCTATCTAGTAGGAGAATCCAGGGAACAGACTGTGAGCATTCGGCACTCCTTTAGTCCCAACACTGGGGAGTCAGAGGCAGGAGGATCTCTGTGAGTTCAAGGCTAGCTGGTCTACATAGTAAGTTCCAGGCCAGCTAAGGATACATAGTGAGATCCTGTCTCAAAAAAAAATAAAAATAAAATAAAACAGAAAGGAAGACAAGAGGTGACTAAGGATGAAGTGACAATCAGTTGGCAGAGTGCTTGCCTGGCATGCACAAAGCCCTGGGCTCCATCCCCAGCAGCCCATAAATCAGACATGGTGGTGCATGCCTATAATTCTTTAATCTTAGCACTGGGAGATGGAACACAAGGAGGATCAGAAGTTCAAGGTTATCCTCAGAAATCAAATTCAAGGGGGCTGGAGAGATGGCTCAGCAGTTAAGAGCACTTCCTGTTCTTACAGAGGACCCCAAGTTTGGTTCCCAGTACCCATGTCAGGCAACTCACAGCCACCTGTAACTACAGCTCCAGGGGACCCAATGCCCTCTTCTGGCCTCCATAGTCACACAGACACAGACACAGACACACACAGACACAGACACAGACACACACAGACACAGACACAGACACACACACACAGAGCATATACTCACACAGATACATATACATACACAAAAATGAAAATATTTTAAAAGAGTAACAAAGAAATGTAAAAAAAAAAAATTAAAATAAGGGGCTGGAGAGACTGCTCAGGGGTTAAGAGCACTTGCTGTACTTCCAGAGGACCCAGGTTCGACTTCTAGCACCACATGGAGGCCCCAGCTCTGACACCCTCTTCCAGCCTTTGTGGGCACTACACACACACACACACACACACACACACACACACACACAAACCAATAAACATACTGACACTCAAAAAGATCTGCTTGCCTCTGCCTCCCAAGTGCTGGGATTAAAGCCATGCACCCCTACACCCGGCAAATTTTTAAATCATTTTTTTAAAAATTAAAATAAGGCTGGACATGGTGGTGCATGCCTTTAAACCCAGCACTCAGGAGGCAGAGGCTGGCAGATCTTTGCAAGTTCAAGGCCAGCCTGGTCTACATAGTGAGTTCCAGGCCAACTAGGGCTACAGAGAGACCCCATCTAAATAA